GATCACCCATTTTGTGACATCAAATTTTAAATTGAGTGCAAATTTCAATTCCATAATTGAAATACATAACATGGGCTACTAATTACTATATTAATAATAATTTTAATAATCACGAAATAATTAGTGAGTTTATAATTATTCTTTTATTCAAATTTCAAAAGTATTTCCAATATTTCAGAAATATTAGGAGAATTCAAAAAATCTCGATTGATAAGTATGTACAGTGACTCGCAGTGAATATGGTTCACTTCAAAACAAACATTAAATCATTTAAAAAAACGAATAATATTATATGAAATCAAGAAAATTTGAACATAAAAATTTAAGTGATTACAACATAAATTTATTTTTAACAAAAAAAACTTCAATATAATAGAAAGAAAATAAATACCAATTCATAAACGTTTGGGTGCTAAATATTATGGATCACAATCAAGCTGGTCCACTTAAATGTGTAGAAAAATATCATTATATTGCATTTTTATATGTTTTAATACTTAGTAATTGAAATTCCTGCTTTAATTATCATTCTTAAACGGATCGGAATGGATTAGAAAAGAGTTTTTGTATATTCTGGACAAATTTTTTGCCATTTTTCTTATAGGGGCTTTTTAAGTCAATTTTATTAGATATCTGATGTTTCCGAATTTTCATCTCTAATTTGTGCTACAAATTTTCAATTATGTTAATATCTGGTGGTTGCTGTGGAGTTCTTATTACTTTTGGGCAGTTGTACAATAGCCATTACCTTACTATTGCAATTGTATATTTCGAGTCGTTGTCCTGGTACATATGAAATGTATCACGAATTCCTAGTTTATTAGCACTTTGTTTTAAATTATATTTTATTATGTCATATTGATATTTCTCTCAATAAAATGTAAATTACTAACCGCAGATTCTGAACAAACACCCCAAATCATTACATGACTTCCATCGTGTTTTATTTTGGGTACTACATACTTTGATTTCAGCTTTTCAGCAAACTCTAATCGTATCTTCTTGTTTTTCTTCTACCGTGTCTTCAGCACGTCTTTCTTCTACAATTCTACCGTGAAAATCAGCGTTTTGAAGGATTCTCCTAATTTTTTCGGCATTAAATTTTATCTTTAACTGGTCTTGCACCATATTTGGAATATAGGCAGCTCTTGATTTAGGATTACTTTTTATTTTTCTAACTACCATCATGGCATTTAGAAATTTTTTTTTAGCTCTTGCTAGGCCTATTGGTAATCCGATTTTTGTTATTATATTTCTATATTATATTTTTAATTTTCGTACGTGCTCTACCTTATTTCTCTTTGGCTTTTACCATTTTTATATTCTCGAATGTCCATAAAGGTATGGCGGCCCATATTGTAAAGTATAAATTTTCTCAGATATAATTCAACGTGTTGAAAGATAAAATAAAATAACAAAAAAATAATGATAAACACTTGCAATTGCAGTTTATGTTTTCGGTAACGGCGAATGCTAAAAAATTCATGTCATTTTATATAAATAAAATTAGTATGAACCATTTTGAGTATGAGGTAATTTTTAAGCAATATTTTAAAATTTTCTCTTATTTTTATTTGAATAGTGAATGATTAAAAGGGTGGTTTTAAAAAAGAAATGTATTAAATTAGCAAGTTTATAAACTTTAATTTGTTAATCAGATAATATTTCTTTAATGTGTATTGTCTAGTAAATTGAAAGTGTTATACAGAATATTATAAAAACGCCTGTTAAATACTTCTTTCCAATTTTTAGGAAACATACCTAGACAAATGTAAAATTAGCTCTTAGTAGAGTTTTGCTTTGTGCTACCTGAATTCCGTGAAATGCTCGCCAGTTGGTTTCGGTAACAACCAGAACTTAAATATCAAATTTCAAAAAATTCTATCAATTGCAAAATCTGCCCTCAGCTCAGTTGATCTTTCCAAAAAATTTATATATTCATTGTTTTAATACGAAGAATTTCAATATTAAATTTCAACAAAACCAGTTAATTATTTCTCTTTATATACGCAAAAATGTATATTGGGCCCATATTAAACGTCCAGTGACGCCTGATTTCTTCCAAAAGTTAGGAGATTTCGCCGGACGGTCGAGCGAATCTTATATATGAAATTTCAAGTAAATCTGTTGAATATTTTCTTCATAATGATCAAAAATGTAAAACAGGCCCGCTAAAAAGTAAGTTCCCGAAGCTTGATATATCCCAAAAGTTGATCAATCTGTCACATAGTTGAAATAAAAATACATATAAAATTTCATCAAAATCGGTTCAGCCGAACTTCGTATACACGCGTGCACACAGACAGACAGGTTGTTAAAAATAGTTTATTTACACTTCCCTACCATGGAGAAGTGAGTTCCCACCGAAAATTCGATATGCAAATTCGTCGCCATCACATCACATACCTATTGTATACACAATACGGTCAGTAAAAAGAAAATTTTTTAAGACGGACGGACCATTTTCACTGTGAGACACTGTATATGTCCGTGTATATGTTGATTTGTCGATTACTCTTACAATCTTCTTACTTATAATAATTCGGTCCGTATTCAGTTCAATGAGTAAGATTGCATATTTCTGCTTTACCATTTAACATGTTAATTTAAAAAATTATTTTTAATATATTTTTCTATTAATTTTTGTGTGGTTCTGTATAAACAATTACAACAAAAACTGAAAAAGTTCATATTGTTTATTTTTTGCTGTTTTAAGAAAGTAAACACAAAACTAAAAAAAAATACTTAATATATTTGGCATAAACTCATTTTCTATCGTATAAATTTTTTCAATGTTACTCTGCACTCTTCAGATTTTGAATACTCGTATATGTATACGAAAGAATTCTATATAGATTAACATATATAGAAACTAAAATAAAAAAAAAAAAAAATGAATGACGTAACCTTAGAATGTAATCAGATTTTTCTTCACGTAAAAATATCTTTAACCCTTTCAAATAAATTATGTTGGTATGGGTACAAAATTGCAGGAATGCCAAGTATAAAAAAAAAATAAGAAATATAAAAGTAATAAATAAGAAAAGAGAACTAAACCCCACAAATCACGCACTATGTGTTTAATAGAACATTCAGTTTTAAAGACTGTTACTCTATAACGCTTTTAGTTCAGTTGTATAATGAAATAATTATTGTATATATGTAATTTTGCATAAATTTAGATAACATAATTTAAAAATTACAATTAATTAAGTTAAAGGTGTCCAGATTTTTTGGGAAGAGTACGATTGTTGATTACAGTGATGGGGTAAGAGTGCACCGTGACCAGCATATCAAAATATATTTTAATTTATTGTATGAACTGTATTTTATAAGCTCTGTATACGACAACATTTTTAAAATTTAACACCTACCTCCCCTCCCCCAGTAATTTATTGTAATGTAATGCGGAAGGTCGACAGATGGTGAGGTGGGGTGGCTGGGGGGTTGGGTTTAAGAAATTTTAGAAATGTTTTCATATACATAGCTTATAAAATTTGGAAGAGTTCAAATTCAAAACTTTGAGAATATTAGATCACAATTATCAGTCTAAAAATGAAGAGAATAGGGGGTTAAAAATTATAACCTGTTGCCTTTTTTATTATAATTTAATTTTTATGGGTGACTTGAAACAACATTTTTTTTTGTGCTAGGGTTTTCAATTAAATTCTTATTAATTTTGTTTTTATTATTATGATTTCCATAATAAAAATAATATAGTAAAAATATTTTTTTTTCGTAACTATTCTTTATACATGCATATATATGAAGAATGTGGTGCGTGATTTGTTATAATTTAAAAAGTTTTTATTACAAGTTCAAATTTATAATATTATTAATAAAGAGAAAAGAGGAACTGATATAATGATTGACATCATCATTTTGGTATACGTATATGTAAATGACCAACAAAAAAATAGTAGCAGCAGCAGTAGCAGCTGGTATGCGATGTAAATATTTTCTTTTATAATTGTCATCTATACATACTCGTATACATAATTTATGTACGCATATGTATATAGTTTATGTTTTACATAAGGTCATACTATTTTAAGGTGTGCTTACAATATAACAGGGGAAATTATAAAATTCTATATTTTCTTTCTTTTCTCTTAAAAATATAATTATATTAGATTAACCATATTTCCTAAATTTATGGCCTTAAAAACCTTAAAAAAAACCTTACTTATACTTTCTTATATTAGAATTATCATAAGGGATAACAGAACCTACTTTATAATGGATAACACCACCACCCACCGTTTTGTCTAAGAACGTTTCCACTCCTTACTAAGTTATCGCTCCTGAAATTTATAAAGTTTGTCAATCTACAAGCCTTTTCAAATTTCTATAAAAATGAAATCATATAATCAAAAAGTATAAATATTTTTCTTTACTCCTTTTAATTATTTTCTTTTACTGATTCCTAAAAGTATGCAATATATTTTAGTATAGGAATAAAAGTAGTTTAAAACGAGAAAAAATATAGTTGATCCTGTCAACTCTGTGATACCCGTACGAATTTGTAATTCTATATGCGAGTTATGAATATCCCATAGCTGACTATGTAAAAGACTATGCCTTTAAGTTGCCATATTCAGACAAAGGCGAAAAGACAGTTAAAGCTAAATCGACACAGAATTCCACGCAGATCAAAAACATATTCTTCAGTCTATGTCTCAGACCATTATTTCTTAGCGTTACAAACGGTAAGGATAATTTAGTATACCCTTCGAATTCGAATACATTCGTACGGATTTTTATTGTAAATAGTGGACTTATAAAAGCAAGATTTTTTACACAAGCTGAAGGCAAAAGTGTGCTTCTTTACAAATTAATTGTTTAATTCAACTTTATTTGAACTATCCATATCTAAATCTTATTCAAAATTTTTATATTAATTTTTAACCATTATAACTAGAATTAAATTTGTGTCCTTTTTTTTTTTATTAAAAAAACATTGATTAATTTATGAATTTATTCTTATTTTTTCTTTACAGTTTTAAAATTTTGCTAATTATTTATTAATTGATAAAGAAAAAAAAATAAAGAAATTAAAAAGTAAAAAAATTAATTAATCTAACATATCATATATAAGAAAACAAAACGGCATTATGGCTCTGGGCGAATCACAAAACGGTACTGTAACGAATGCCTCTAATAATAAACACAGTGAAAAAAATGATAAAATTGAAATGCAAAATGATAATCAACACCATAATAAAGGAGGAGGTCATGAAAAGAAAACCACAAAACAGGTAAATAATTTTTAAAATAAAAGTTTTTAATTTAAAAAATTTGCACAATAATTATAATGATTTGTATTGTCAATATAAAATCACAAATTCATCTAGATTCTATACATATCTTAATTAAAACTATTTAGACTTCTACATATTATATATGCATATGTTCAATTCGAATCGATTATTGGAGTAATTTTTTAATTATATTGTACGTATAGTGTAGAGATTTTAAAATTATAAGTATATAGGGTGATGGTATCATTGGTGGACTTATAAGTAAAAAGAGAATTAATTGTTTATCACTTTCATTTAAACTTTCATTTCTAATATGTACTACTTACACTTCTAATATATGTACTACTTTAAATACTGATTATGCTCTATAAGTGCTCTTCTAAAAAATATAAGAGTATTTACTACATTGCCATATAACCTCATAGCTCTCTTATTCTGCCTGTTATTAAAGTATGCAAATATATCCGATCGACAAAAAATAAAAAAATATTATTTATTACCTTCCATATTTGAACATGTATAAGACTTACATAGATAGTATCTATACATTAGAAAACACCGTATACATACGTTACAACACAAATGAATATTGTTAATGATTAAAAAATATATAAATATGGTTTGATTTCCGGTGGATGAACGAATGGCAAAGTAAAATATTAAAACAAAACGAAAACAACATGGCGATTTTTCTATTTAAAATAATTTATCCAAATGGTATATTTATAAATTTTAAATTTCACATATTTCAAAACTATACAGGTTGGTTCGGATATATTTTGCGAAGTGGTTTTTTGATCAATTCTAGCAATAAAAAATTATTTGAGAGGTTAACCATGAAAAAAGTCGAAAAAAAGTGTATGGAGAATATTTTATCCCCCTTTGTACACAGGGGGGTTACATGAGGAGGTTGGGCCTGGAAGGCGAGAGCACTTGTAGGTTCTCTGGGGGCACGGAGGAAATTCGATGCACCGTCTCGGTGAATTTCGAGATTGATCTACTGCAGAAGAGAGTCTTTGGGTGCTTTTACCCGCAGCAAGAGAGCTGCAAGATCAGTAGGACCCAAATTGATCAGTAGGATGAGTCTGGAGGATGTGTACTTTAGATATTAAAGGGATTGCGGGTCCAATAGAACCACCCCGTGTGTCGTGGTACATTGACATCCCTTGTCTAATCTTATCTAACACGACAAAAAAAAAAACAAAAACTTTAAAATTTTTAATTACGAAGAAGAAAACAGCTTTCAATTATCTATATATAATAAATGGCTCCAAAAGTTTTTAGTACATATTTGTTTGAAGGGAAAGGCTGAGTGGGACTGGCAGTAGTCCGAGAAGGATTATATGATCTACTCCCTCCCTCTCCTTACTCACGTGATTTTTGCTGAAACTTGGTAAAAGAACCTTTTCTGAAATTATTTTCTGCAATATTACTTGAAACACCCTGTAATATGTATTCACAAATCGGATAAGTACTATATTATGTATGATTTATATATTCACTATTCAATTTTCTGTGATACTTAAAATTTTTTTTTTATTTTGTTTTTTTTTTCACTCTCACTTTATAATTAGGCATATAAGTGGTATAAATGTCTGTATTAAAATAATGAAAACTAATAATTATATAAAAATTAATACCTGACTCATATAATATATGTACACTAACAGTAAAATGTAAATTATGTACACATAATATTATATATATTTAAATAAATTTTTCAATAAAATAAACAATAAAATCATTACGAATCAGGTATAGTTTATACATAAATTTCCGACTCATGAATCTGTCGGCCAATAAGTATGCATGTGTGCCGGCTTATTTGGTGCAGCCGGTCTATTAACTATCTACTTAATACCGGAGTGTCTACGTACTTAAAAATTTTGGATAAATGTACCTATCATCATATTTCTCTGTTGCCCTATTTGTCATCTGCTAGTCAGCTCACTTGTGATCATATTGAGCAGAAAAGAGGTGGAACCCTGTTTAATTCCTGTTTACAGCTCTATTGGGTGGCTCAAGTACTAATCTTGAAAAATTTTATGTGCTTTCGATGCATACCGTAAAAAAATATAAAAGCAAAATATGATGTCATTTAATAATATAAAGCGCAACTGTGTATGTTGTTAATGTTTTTCTTTTTTTCGTTTTTGAAGTATATATAAATGTGAAAAGGTGCTTAATAGAAGATTTAAAATATGACGTCATTCACATGTTGTGAACGGTATAAAAAATGTGAAAAATTAGAACATAAAAAGTATATGAAGTAAACATTTTCTTTTTAAATATGTAAATAAAATTGTATTCAAAATAACTTCAATATATGTATAATTAACGTTAGGTATAACATATTTTAGTTATTTTAAGATAATGACTTATACATATTATGTAAACGTGAGTATTGTAACAAAAATATCGAAATATCGCATTGTGCTCACTTTGATCTATCAAAAGTAAGGCGGAAGAAAGAGCACATCATTAAAACACAATTTCTATTTATTTGGTTTCGTTTCGATTCCTTTCGTTTCACATTCTCTTTAATTAGGCTCTTATTAGTCTAACTGCTGTTTCGAACAGCAAAAAGGGAAACAATCGAAATGTGTCTGTTTTTTGGTAAAACTAGTAACCCATAACCCATAAAACTAGTTGCAGTTTTTTTCATCATAACATCAAATTTATTTTTCTGACAGATCTATCTGAAAATTTTTTTCGTTTTCTTTATACCCGAACGAACGTATGTTCGAACGGTAAACTAAATTTGCCTTACCGTTTGAAACGCTAAGAAATAATGGTCTGAGATGTAGACTCAAGGGTATGTTTTTGTTCAGCGTCGAATTTTGTTCAGCGTCGAAGTCGATTTAGCTTTGTCTGTCCATCTGTACGTCCGTCCCAAACATAACACAAAAACTAATTGATCTAAGTTCACCAACATTTCACAAATGATTTATTATAGTAAATGCGAGAACCCTATTTAAATTGGTTACGATCGAGGTATAGATTCTAGTAGCTGCCATATAATTTCCAAATTTATTTGTCTACATCTCAGAAACTGTAAAAGCTGTGGTATTGAAATTTCGCACAAGCAAATAAAATAGTAGAGACAATATGTGTTTGATAAAAGTCGTTGAAATTGCTTGGCGCCTTTTGGTAGCGGCCACACAATTTAAAAAATTACTTGGTTATATCTTGAAAACTGTTCAACCTACAGTACTGAAATTTTGCAAAATAAAATATGGTAAAAGGGTAACTATATTCATTAAAAGTTGCTGAGATCTCATGAGTACTTATTACAGCTGTCATACAACTACAAAATTTATTTGGTATTATCTCACAAAATTATTGGAGTTATAAAATACAGAAATTTCGTTATAACAAGTGTATTATTAGAGTTGATATGTGTGAAAAATTTTTTTAAAATTTCTAGACTGCTTGTGAAGCTGCCATGCAACTTCAATAGTAGATTAGCCATATCTTAGAAAATATTTAAATAACAGTACTGAAATTTTGCATAAATTAATATGGTAATACGGCAATTTACAGTCATAGTCTGTCCGATATTCAGGTATGACATATTTAATCGCACATAGGATAACAAATTCGTACAGATATCACAGAGTTGACATGGTCAACTCTATTTTTTCTCGTTTTTCTGTTAGCTATCATTAATGCTTTTAAAATTATTTGTATGTAAAGTACATTTATTATTTATTGTAGAAATTTATTATATATATTATGTATTAATAAATTCAATATTACATTTAACAGGCTGATGCAAATATATCGTTTTTAAGAGCAGCGCGAAGTGGTGATTTTGAAAAAGTTATAGAATTTTTAGAATCCGGTCAAGTTACAGATTTAAACACTTGTAATGCGGTAAGTATTTTAACGTTTCTTATTTTTTTTTATTTAAGAATTTGTTTTTTATATGTATTAAAATATGCATGTGCCATATATTTATATACAAATAAATTATATTTTATCTTTCTCAACATAGAATGGTTTAAATGCATTACATTTAGCTGCAAAAGATGGTTATGTTGATATTGTTAATGATTTATTAAAACGTGGCGCTAATGTTGATAATGCAACTAAAAAAGGTAATACAGCATTACATATTGCATCATTAGCTGGACAAAAAGATGTTATAAAATTATTAATACAATATGGGGCTAATGTTAATGTACAATCATTAAATGGTTTCACACCATTATATATGGCAGCCCAAGAGAATCATGATGCATGTGTTAGATATTTATTGGCAAAAGGTGCAAATCCATCATTAGCAACTGAAGATGGTTTTACACCATTAGCTGTTGCAATGCAACAGGGACATGATAAAGTTGTTGCTGTGTTATTAGAATCAGATTCACGTGGTAAAGTAAGATTACCAGCATTACATATTGCTGCGAAAAAAGATGATGTTAAAGCAGCTGCATTATTATTAGAAAATGAACATAATCCTGATATTGTATCAAAATCTGGTTTTACACCGTTACATATTGCTGCACATTATGGCAATGTTGATATTGCAAATTTATTAATTGATAAAGGTGCTGATGTTAATTATACAGCAAAACATAACATAACACCACTGCATGTTGCATGTAAATGGGGTAAAACAAATATTATAAATTTATTATTATCGAAAGGGGCTAAAATTGATGCAACAACACGCGATGGTTTAACACCATTACATTGTGCAGCTAGATCGGGTCATGAAAAAGTGATTGAAATTTTATTAAAAAACAATGCACCAATATTGTCAAAGACAAAAAATGGCTTAGCACCATTGCATATGGCAGCACAAGGTGAACATGATGAAGCAGCTAGAATATTATTACAAAATATGGCACCAGTTGATGAGGTAACAGTTGATTATTTAACAGCATTACATGTTGCAGCACATTGTGGTCATGTTAAAGTTGCTAAATTATTATTAGATCATCAAGCTGATCCAAATGCTAGAGCATTAAATGGTTTTACACCATTACATATTGCATGTAAAAAAAATCGTATTAAAGTTGTTGAATTATTATTAAAACATAACGCTAGTATTAGTGCAACAACAGAAAGTGGTTTAACACCATTACATGTTGCAAGTTTTATGGGTTGTATGAATATTGTTATTTATTTATTACAACATGATGCTGCTAATCCAGATGCTCCAACAGTACGTGGTGAAACACCATTACATTTAGCAGCACGTGCTAAACAAACTGATATAATACGTATATTATTACGAAATGGTGCACAAGTTGATGTTAAGGCACGTGAAGGTCAAACACCATTGCATGTTGCATCTCGTCTTGGTAATATTGATATTGTTATGTTATTATTACAACATGGTGCAAATGTTGATTCAAAAACAAAAGATTTATATACACCATTACATATAACAGCTAAAGAAGGACAAGAAGAAGTTGCAAGTGTTTTATTAGAAAATAATGCAAATATTGATGCAACAACCAAAAAAGGTTTTTCACCATTGCATTTAGCTGCAAAATATGGTAATGTTAATGTTGCACAATTATTATTACAAAAGGGTGCCCAGGTTGATACACAAGGTAAAAATGGTGTTACACCATTACATGTTGCTAATCATTATGATCACCAAAACGTTGCATTAATGTTATTAGAAAAGGGTGCATCACCGCATACAATGGCTAAAAATGGTCATACTGCATTACATATTGCAGCCAAAAAAAATCAAATGGATATTGCAAATGCATTATTACAATATGGTGCTAATACAAATGCTGAATCAAAATCTGGTTTTACACCTTTACATTTAGCAGCACAAGAAGGTCATGTTGACATGGTTAATTTATTATTAGAACATGACGGTAATTCCAATTCTCAAGCTAAAAATGGTTTAACACCAATGCATTTAGCTGCACAAGAAGATAAAACTGATGTTGGTAGAATATTATTAGATAATAATGCTAAAATCGATGAAAGAACAAAAGCTGGTTATACACCATTACATGTTGCAGCTCATTTTGGACAAGTAAATATGGTAAAATTTTTATTAGAAAATGATGCTAATATTGAAATGAGTACAAACATCGGTTATACACCATTACATCAAGCAGCGCAACAAGGACATACATTAATAATTAATTTGCTATTGCGACATAAAGCGAATCCAAATGCCTTAACAAATGTAAGTATTGTTACAAAATGCTCCATTAATTTCTTTAATTACAAAAATTTTTATAGGGTTAGTACAATAGTAATTATTTATTTTGAATTTTATTATAAATTATATACAATTAGTGGCTTATTATTTCAATCATAATTATTTTTTTATTTACAAATTGTCAATCACAAATTTATTTATTTTGTTTTAAGCCGAAAAAATCCACGTTTTTTTAAAAAGCTAAATTCGGATTAGTGATAGATAGTAGATTATAATTTTAGGTTCAATATTTTTTTAATATACTAATTTTAAAGTTAGTTTCGTAACTTTTGTGTATTATTAAATAAAATTTATATATATCTCAATTAATTCTTGAATTGTCGAATTAACTCACGTGAGTTAACGTTATTGTATTTTTTGATGACATGTCATTTAGCTTTCTGCATTTATAAAAAATTGCAGTGTGGAAATATAAGGTGTCGAAAATTCCAATTTTAGAAATTTCTAGTGGTGATAACTTATGAGGGGATAGAGGTGGAAAAAAATTTTCTTCTAACGAAATAAACTATTTCTAAAGGCTGTAAAAATTTCAGGCCCCTACAAATCAAGCTCTAGAAGAAAGCCAATGTTATAAATTTCAAACCAATAAAAAAACGGTTTTTAAATAACGGTAAATTAAACGACCATTTAAATTTTTTCATTTCTATGCTCAATTATGCTATGCTGTGGTGGAAAAATCAACCAATACTTTTCTGCGTTTACAGAATTGAAAATATATTTATGGTTTCGTTACAATAAATAATCATAAAATTGCATTTTAAAAACTTTTTAGAATGTATAACTTAGAAGGGGGAGATACGCAGGTAAAACTTTTCTTCTGCGGAAATAAATTTTTACTAAGATCTATTTTTATTTGAAATTTCAACTGTCTACCTTAACGGATGTAGAAGTTTTATAGCGGACGGATGGACAGAGTGAAACTAATAAGCACTATTTTAATTTCTTTAAAAGTGCTAAAAATCTTGAGAAAATTTTAATTTTCCTTATTCTCTTCAATTTTCTTCTTATTTGTTCAAGATTTAAAATTTCTCTCCTTCTCTCTGTAATTAATACGTAGTATGCTCTAGCATTATTAATGTAATGTTATTTTATTTTTAGAAAAAAAATTTAATGGAATCAAAAAATAAAATATAAAAGAAGAGCAGACACTATATTGAATTCCATTAAATTGTTACTTTATTGTATAAATTGTGTGTGTATTCTTAAGGTTTATACTAATGTAGTTTTTTTTTTATTGCATGATTTTGTTTTTTACACTTTTTTTTTTTACAAAATTTGCTATATGTTTTAATAATTTTTCAAAACTACGGAGAATAAAAAATGTTGTTTATGTATCATAGGTGTTACACTTACGTATGAACAACACATAAAAGTTTTTTTCAAATCTAGATTATTTCGATTTCTGAGAAAGATTAGAATATAACATAATTAATTTTGAAAACGTAAAACATGGTTAAGCTTTATTCATTCATAATAACGCACTAAAAATATCCTTGAAAACATATGTCTTCTGGTTCCTGGAATATCCTTCTATGTCTTCTGGTTCCTGGAAAAAACTGAGCTAAATACCCATATTCTTGTACATATTATTTAAAAACATTTTTTATGTCATTCTTTATTTCAATTGTTTTTGTGACATCATGTCAGCCTCTTCGGGCACATGAAAGGTACCAAAAAGGCATCATTTGAAATGACGTGATGTGATAAATTTTTTTTATCAAGTCAGTGACGAAACTAACAGAATATGGGTGAATTGCTTTGTTGTTGTTTTGTGAATTGAAATAAAGTTCTAATTTGAATATTCCAAATTTTTTTAAAAATTTTTGTCTCCCTCACTGATGAATGATGTGTAGTGCTTTTGCTACCTGTTAAAATCAAAGAAAAAGATAAATGGTGGATTCTATTTTAAACAGAAAGAAACAACTAAAAAGAAAATGAAAAAAAAAATAAATTATTAAAATAAAATTTAATTTTAAATTTTTTGTTTTCGTTTAAATTTTTTTTTTTTTGTTTTCAATTTGAATATTATTCAGCATCAAAACTGTTGTTTTTAAAGATAATTTTTTTTTGTCATAAATACACAAAACAAGTTAATTAAAATTTAAATTAATTTAAGTTTGGAAATATTTTTTAATTTTCTAAAATATTTTGAAACAAAAAGTAAATATAAATTAAAAACCAAACTAAAAAAACTAAAATATTGAGTTTAGTTATGAAAAAAAAAATAAAGTTTAAAACGTAAAGTGTGTCTTTTTAAAAAAAATTTTAAATTAAAACTAAAATATCCTTTGGATTTATTAGTTCGAGTTCTCCATTTTAAGAAAATAGTGTAAGTGTATGAATAATTTGCTAATATAATTAAATTAGACATAATACAAACATTTTATTTATTATTTAAATCAGCTGTTTTGCTGAACAAAAAAATTTAATTTAATAAAATTTCAATAATTTTTTTTTTTTATCTATGTATATAAAAAAATTTGAAGAAGGTGGTGTGTAGTAATCATAAAACTATTTGTAAAAATTTATATGCTATAAATAATTATGATCTTATTATAGTTAGTTGTTGCTCTACACAGGATGTTTCGCATAAGAAGGCAAATACTTTCAGTAATGATTCGTTAATCAATTTCCAGCAAAAAGTTGTATGGGGATGGGGTTGCAGATATACTAATTTTTGAGATACAACCTGTTGAAAACAAAGGTACCAGACTGTTTCTACATATAAATAAATACCTATAACTTTAGAACTATACGACATAAAGTAACTTTTGGGGGGTTAAATGATGTATTCAATTTCAAAATCAATGTGTGAAATTTGCGTTTTTCGCATGCTTTTTAAACACATTTAATATGTTTTACTTGCAAAACCATAAAGAAGTAAAGGAAAATGTTATATGGCCTAACTTTGTAGCAAAACGAAAAAAAAAATAACACACATTTTTGAGAAATTTCGAGTTTTTGATCAAATTGATTGTGAGACTGAAGATAAAGAACAATCAATCGCATTTGAAACCAGTCCCCAATGGTTACTCTATGTGGAATGGCTCCGAAGTTAAAGGCATTTATTTATATAAAAAAAAATCTGATGCCTTACAATTTTTTGCTGGAAAATGTTCAATTAAGCGAAACACCCTGTATATGTTTTCAAAATTTTATATTTTTTATATAGGTTTAATATCATTCCATGACAAAAATTACTGAAATATATACAGTAGAACCTACGTAATTGCAACCCGAATAAATGCAAAATCCGATTGATGGTATATACAAAATTTCTCACTTTAAGGTTTTTTCCAAAAATTTTCAACCGATCAATACTACAATCCGCAAAAACATAAATAAATATATTTACCTTTTTTTTAACTATTAATGAAAAGAACATCGAATTAATAATAAAATTTTAAATGTCTATAGCTATTTATTTTATTAATTTTTTTACCGTATTAAAAATATTTATTAATTAATTATATTTTTTATAGAAAATTAAATCCAACAGTATATCACACATCAATTATAGTAAATTATCAAAACAAATATATTATGATACAAGTGAAATTAATGATTTTAAAAAATTACTTTTAAAAAATAATTACAAAAAAGTAACTAATTATGATGACATTAAGATGTTAAAAAAAAATAAGGATTTTATAGAAATCATATCAAAATATATGAAATGTCATTATTATGAATATGCAATTAATGGAAAATACGGAAATTATACTTTCCCCCGAATATCAAGTACAGTATGTATAGAAAATGCATATATGTATATAGAGTATGAAAAATTGTTATCTAAAATATATATATATATATATATATATATAATTATATATATTAAGCAAATTTTTTAATTGTATATAAAACTTTAGAGTTCTTATTTTTCAATTGATTATAATTCATAAATTTTTTACTATGTAATCATAATGAGCCTTATTCTGATTGGCACTGTCATATCGTATGATATTACAGTTGTCGAGCGACATGACATGTGAGAAATAATCGAAAATGTAAGAAGAGAAATAATCGAAAATGTTTCAAGTACAATCGATATATTTAAAAAAAAAATTGTCACGAGTTAAGTTGAAAATAAAAAAATAGTTTTCAATGTATATGTTATTTACATTTTCAAATAAAAAATGTATTCATTTGCATTTTGGCTTACGGATTCATCAGATTCTAATATTGATGAAATTGATAAAGCGCAAAAATTAAGGAACAAAAAGATTTAACAGTAGGGACAGCTCTTCTATCAACTGGTTCCACTTGGCTTCAGTTACTACTTGCAGTCACTTATGCAGCTATTTCTTGCGAATTTAGGCCTTTTGCTATAAAGGCCGTCCTCTGTCATAAAATTACTATTCTCTTCAAGTGGTTTTCTTGTTATCACTTTAATACTAAAAATTGAATTTTGTGTATGATTAATTTGTTTTGAGTATGATTATTTTTTATTATAATTTCATTAAATTTTCCCGTTTAAACTTAAATTTAGGTTTCATCTTGTCTATCACACTTTTGCTAAACCCTTTTCGACTAAAAATCCATATGTCACATCAGAACTGGAATATAATTGAAATATACATATTATGTTTGTTGATATTCCTCGATTAGTGTCAATTTCGATAACTAGAATAAGGCTCAATATATTTTACGTTTATCCATTTACATGATATGAAAATAATTTGCCAATCATTTTTGTATATAAAATTCTATTCTAGCAAAAAAAAAAAAGATTTTTATAACTTTAGTATTTATGCATATAAATCTACATTGAAATCTAAAAAGTAAGTACCTTCAAAATCTGTATGAGAATTAAAATTTTTGAGAAAATTAGTTTAATATTCCAGAAAAACCATCGTCATACACGGTTTTATTAATTTATAATATTCTCAACCGATCATACATAATATGTCTCAACATCAACTTCGAACTACAGAAAACACAACCTTATGCAGTGCCACGGCCTTTTATTGTATTTTAAAAACGAGGCATTGAAAGCTTAAATTTTTTGCGTTTAATGAATTTCGTAATTTTACAGAGCGATTTCAGTGTGTTTGGTGTTGCGGCGCGTTAACTTTAATTCAATAACTACAAATGTAAACTCAAAATTTAATAAATTTTGTGATATAATTACATAATATTGATTTATAATTTCATTTTTCATTATTCAAATTCTTTTAAGAATTTTATTCGAAATATATATTTTCATTAGTATCTCTACATATACATATGACATTTTTTCTAATTACACAATGTACAACAAAATTATTGAATAGTTTTAAAAACATGTAGTTAGTTTTAGTTATTATAAAAGTTACAAAACAAATTTCTTTCAGTGTAAAAAACAGTAAGATTGAATACCCAAAGTATGTAAAATACGTCATATATAACGTTACACATTGTAAACAAACTTTACTTGTTTTTTTTGGCATGGTAAAAAAGTAGAATATTTTTTATTTTTTCCACTTGTATGATAAAACTATATAATTTCAAATTTCTTTTTTCTTTTTAGAATGGACAAACAGCTTTAAGTATTGCAAATAAATTAGGCTATGTTACAGCAGTTGAAACATTAAAAATTGTTACCGAAACAAGTATTATAAATACAGTTACCGGTGCATTAGAAGAAAAATATAAAGTTGTTGCACCAGAATCTATGCATGAGACATTTATGTCAGATTCTGAAGACGAAGGAGGTGAAGATCATATCGATCATCATAATCAATATAAATATATGGTAACAGACGGTATTATGGCTGATACAATTAAATTTGATACAACAGATGATGATGATCATAAAAAAGGTAAAAAACAAAAAAATAATATATTACTTGGCTTTTTTTCACAATTTTTTTTATTTTAAAGTGATCAACGAAACCATAACAAGTCAATATGTAAATACAGATCTAATGTCAAATCCATATATAATAAAAGCAACTGATAACGTTAATATTGTTCGACCGCCAATACATGTTGGGTAAATAAAATATTAAAATTTCAATTAAAACAGTTTAATAGGAAATTAAATTTTTTTTTGCTTAGATTTTTAGTTTCATTTTTAGTTGATGCCAGAGGTGGTGCAATGCGCGGTTGCCGCCATAGTGGTGTACGTGTTATTGTACCAACAAAATCATGTGCACAACCAACTCGAATAACATGTCGTTATGTAAAACCTCCAAGAATTTCAAATCCACCACCTTTAATGGAAGGTGAAGCTCTTGTTAGTCGTATATTAGAATTATCACCAGTAGAAGCAAAATTTTTGGGGTAAGTTTTATTAATAATTTTTATTTTTATATCTCAAAAAATTTTATTTCCCTTTTTTCAGACCTGTTATAATTGAGGTACCACATTTTGGCTCATTGCGTGACAAAGAAAGAGAAATTGTAATATTACGTTCTGATAATGGTGAAACATGGCGAGAACATACCTTAATTGCAAATCATACGAACGATGATACTGTACGTGATGTACTAAATGAAATTGAACAAACTGGTGATGCTTTAAATCCATTAGAAGATTTACATACAAATCGTATCATTCGTATAGTAACACATGATTTTCCACACTTTTTTGCTGTTATATCTAGAATTCGGCAAGAAGTACACGCAATCGGACCGGATGGTGGTACTGTTAGTTCGGTAGCAGTACCACAAGTACAAGCAATATTTCCAGAACATGCTTTAACCAAAAAAATTCGCGTGGGTTTACAAGCACAACCAGTTGATTTAAATGGTTGCGCAAAATTATTGGGACAGGGAGTTGCTGTATCACCAGTTGTTACAGTTGAACCAAGACGTCGTAAATTTCATAAAGCAATTACATTAAGCATACCAGCACCAAGAACACATGCACAAGGTATGGTTAATCAATATTCCGGTAATGCTCCAACATTACGTTTGTTATGTTCTATAACTGGTGGACAAAATCGTGCAGTATGGGAAGATGTTACTGGTTCGACACCTTTAACTTTTGTGAAAGATAGTGTTTCGTTTACAACAACAGTGTCAGCTAGGTTTTGGTTAATGGATTGTCGCAATATTGCAGATGCAAGTCGCATGGCTACCGAATTATATACTTACATGACAAAAGTTCCATTTATGGTCAAATTCGTTGTATTTGCTAAAAGAATTAGTAATACCGAAGCAAAATTAAGTATTTTTTGTATGACAGATGATAAAGAGGATAAAACATTAGAACAACAGGAATATTTTAGTGAAATTGCTAAATCAAGAGACGTTGAAGTTCTAGAGGAACAGCAAATTTATTTAGAATTTTCAGGAAATTTGGTACCGATTGCAAAATCGGGTGAACAATTGCATATGAAATTTCAAGCATTTAGAGAAAACCGTTTGTCATTTATGGTACGCGTTAAAAACGAAGAAGAACCGTTCGGACGTGTCAGCTTTATGAATGAACCAAAAGTTGCCAAAGGTGAACCACCACAAGTACCAATATGTAATTTAAATGTTTCATTAGTTGATGAAAGAATAATTGAAAACTGCCACAGTTTGAATGCATCACAAAGAAGTTTAGATCGTAATTATTGTATAATTTTGAACGGTGGTTTAACACAAAATCAAGATGAAATTCATAAAGCTGATATACGTTTGTCAGATATATGTAACTTATTAGGTGATGATTGGATGAAATTAGCTAAAGAATTAAATATACCGCAAAGCGATATTGATTTGATTGAATTGGAATATCCGGATAAACCAACACAACAGGCAATGGTTATGCTACGATTATGGCTAAGATCAAATCAGCACCCATCGAGTGGAAATTTAATGAGACAGGCTTTACAAAAAATTAAACGACCTGACATTGTTGATAAATGCATATTTAATTTGGAATTAGTAACAGATGACATGGAAAAAGCTGTAGCTAAAATGCAATTAGACCAGTCGGGTTTTAATAATTTGCAAGAAGAATGTGAAACATCACATATAATTGATACATCAGTATTGAATCGAACAAAAGATAACAACACCAATGTTAACAATGTTGGTCAAAAACTAAATAACATTGGAAATAATGATAATGTTAACATAACTCAATTAATTCATATACAACCAGTACAAGAAGAAGATATAACGATCGCCGCATCTCCGAAGCAGAGGGATCGTCCAAAATTTCCGCAGAAACAATTACAGGAAGAATTACAACCACAACAAGAATTGGAACAGCAACAAAATCATCAATATTATGTAGATCACGTACAGATAAAGGAATATCCTCCTTCTGCACCCGAAATATCGGAGCTCTCATCACAAAAGAAGGAAGTTAAATTAGTTATAGATGAAAGTCCTATAAGTAAAATCGATCAAGTTCCCGAAATTTTCACAGAAGAGAGAAAAAAAATTATAATTATAGAACCAGATGTATATGAAGAACAGAAACCAATTGAAATAGAGAAATCTATTATTGGAACGCAATTAGACAAAGATATAATCAAAGGTAAAAATAATTAAAATTAATTTATTTGCAATTTGCAAAAAATTATAAATGTGTTTTAATTTCCCCAAACAGAAAATCTTGACACAATATTACAAAATTCAGCAAATATTGTAGAAGAAATTAAAAAAGATCAACCGAATAGAAAAAGTGATTATTCTGTACCACCACCAACTCCAATTGAAAAAACAATTTCGTCAAAGCAGGCGACAATTTCACCAAACTTCTTTGCGAATCAAGAAATTGCAGAAAATGTTCAAAAATATGATAATAATGATATTCCAGAAGGTGAATATAATATATTTGTACAATATATGTATTCATAAGTTCTTAATTTATAAAATTCATTTACGTAATATTTTTAGATATGAAAATAATGCCACATGGAATTGAGACAACAACAGTAGAAACTGATACAAAAACTGAAGAGTAAGTAGAAGTAATTTTTCCAACTTTTCATTAAATGATTAGAAAGAAATTGATTTCGTACCGGCTTTCTTTGGCCTTTAGTAAACGAACTTCAATTGAGGTTGTAAATTCATTGAATTTGTGTTTATTGACAGTTCACAATCTCTTTATTATTTTACCATAAATTTGTCTCAATTCACAAAAATTTTTAAATAAATAAGAAGTAATAACGCTTTTTACTGTTACAGTGGTGTAACAACAAAAACTACGACAGTTATTACAAGGACAGAAAATGCTCCAATCACACAAACATTTATAATACAAAATCCAGAAGATGAGCTATTACAAGCTTTAACAACAAAATTGGAAAAATTAGACTTATCTAATATTAATCCTGAACTAATACAAGCTTTAACAAAGTCTGAAAAAGTAGATATATCTGATGTTAATGTTGATCTCCCTGAATTATCATCATCTATTGCACCAAAAATGCAAAATGTTAATTTATCTGATATTGAAAGTAATGTAATATCGACAATTGCTGGTAATATAAATTCTTCCTCATCACCAAATGGAAGCGAAACTTTAACATCAAGAACAATAACAACAACAAGATCAACTACTTTACCTGATGGTGAAATTAAAACAACTATTGAAACAGTTCAAGTAATTGGTAGTGAATTAGATGATGACAAAAATATTGAAAATTTAATACAGCAACAAATACAACATCGTGATCATCATCATCAACAAGAAAACCAACAGCAATAACAACTATAGAAGGCAGCCAATGAATTATAGCAGCAACATGATTCTACAAAAAAAATATTGGACAATTTCAAAATATAAAGATTAAGTAAAAACAAATTAAAAACTATAATTAAAAGTTATGTTTCTATATATGTATTTATTAAAAAGTTGAAAAATATTATAAAAAAAAAGTTAAATCGATAAAAACAAAATGATACTAAAAAATTGAAGAAAAGCTAAACCTTAAAAAATAGCAGAACAATAAAACGAGGTCTTTTCAGAAGTCTATCTAGAAATTCTGTTTAAAGCACAAAAACATCAATTATTTTCTATTATCCGGGAAATCTGGTTTAATTAATTTAAATAATTACACGTAATAGAAGTGTTAAGATGAAAAAGTTATGAGGGTGGTATTCCTCTTCAATATTGTTTTTAAAATTTTTACATTTTAAATTATGTACCAATTGATATACTTCATAGTAACGGTTACGTTATTAAACAGTTGCAAAAATTGTGCAGTTGTTTGATTGTTTAATTATTTTTTTATTCATATTGTAAGCGTTAATATAAACAAATTATGAACTCTAACTAAATTTAAAAATTTTAAAAATTAAAGAAATAAAAAACAGCCAAATATTTGCGGAAGTCTTTAATTATTTTAAAGTGGGAATGTAAAAACTCCATATACATACAAATAAAATATAAATTTTTTCTGTTTCAATCGTAAAGTAAAAGACTTTAATAAATGTACGGTATTTGTGTCTTTGAAAATTTTTTTTATCTTGACTTTTTTTTAATTAAAATTTGTGACAAAAGGTTTGATATAGACAACTAAATATACTTTTCAGATAGGATGCTTTTTTAACAATGCAGTTTGCATTTGCATTTCAAACTTACATGGACAGTAGCCAAATTGTAATTGGGAAAAAAAAGGAAAACAAAATAAATATATTCTTTAAGCGTAAAATTTCAACCAGACCGCATATTAAACGAAGTAGATAAATTTTTCGTATTCAATTCTCAAATAAGAGTTTTTTGGCTACAGTTAAGCAATATGAAAATAGAGAGGCTTCAAATTTTTGAGTTTTTTTTAAAAAAAATTGATTTCCGAATTTTGCATTACAACGCGTGATTACCGTATGGTCTACATGGAAATTTGTGCGAAGCGCAATTCACGAACCTACTAGTAAATCTTTTATGGATTAAAAAATATCGAAAATTCACTAAAAATTTTTTGTTTTTTTTTTTACATAAATACCATTTTCACAATCTGCGAACTTCGTATGCTAGAATATGCACAGATATTAAAAATTATATTATTTTGTACTTTTAATTTTTTTAGTTTTGCATTTATTTATTATTGCATGTGTTTATTTTTTACATATTTTATATATAATAATAACTTTTTTTTTGGATTGTAATTTTTAAATATTTCAACGAAAGCAAAAATAAAAACAATCAAAATATAATTTAAAAAAAACAACCACTCTCACAAATAAAATTTAAACAAAAAAACAAAAATAATTTTTTTTATTTTGATTCTTATTTGAGCTTTTGATCTTTAATTTTCTTTGTTGTAAAGTAAACAGAATCTAAACAATCACGGTAGAAATACAAACTAATAAATTTCAATACACCTCAATTTCCATATATTAAACGATTCACTTATTTTATTACAAATGCGTTACGTCTGCTTAAAGATCTTAATTAAAATAACAAAAACCCGATTTCTGCAGGAAAAACTAAAACGAGAATCTAGAAATTTAAATAGAATATTTATTTTCAATCAAAAGGTAAGTTACGTACATAATCATGCAGTGAAATAAGTACATTCAATTAACAGTAATTCAAAAAAACATAGGTCAGGTGACTTTGTTGAAAAAAATTTGTATATCTCATTAACAACAAGCAATAATATCAAAAAATAAAAGAAAGTAAAAGTTCCACAAATTAAAATCAGAAAATATGCCTTCTACAATTTCTGCGTGCCTGGAATTTTAAAATATTTTGAATAAAAATATTTTATTTGACCATGTTCGAGATTTTTAATTTTAAAGAAAGTAAAAGACGAGAATCAACAGTAGGAAACAAATTAATTTACGTCCCATCATTCCTGCTGATTTGTTAATTCGTTTGAAAAATATTTTATTCGATAATATTTGTGAAATTTAATTTTAAAGAAGTAACAGGCGTTCATGACCGGCAGACAGCAAATTTCAGAAAATTAAAAATGATCTTATTTTGACAATATTGCTGAATTTTAATTTTAAAAAAGTAACAGGCACTCATGAACAGCAGAAAGCAAATTTCAAAAAATTAAAAATGATCTTTTTCCCTCCAAATGATCCTGCTCGCCTGGTATTTTGTTTCACAAATATTTTATTTTGACAATATTGGTGAATTTTAATTTTAAAAAAGTAACAGGCACTCATGAACAGCAGAAAGCAAATTTCAAAAAATTAAAAATGATCTTTTTCCCTCCAAACGATCCTGCTCGCCTGGTATTTTGTTTCACAAATATTTTATTTTGACCATTTTGGTGAATTATAATTTTAAAAAAGTAACAGGCACTCATGAACAGCAGAAAGCAAATTTCAAAATATTAAAAAAGATCTTTTTCCCTCCTATCGATTCTGCTAGCCTGGTATTTTGTTTCACAAATATTTTATTTTGACCATTTTGGAGAATTTTAGTTTTAAAGAAGTAACAGGCGTTCATGACCAGCAGAAAGCAAATTCCAGAAATTTAAAAATGATCTCTTTCCCTCCAAACGATCCTGCTCGCCTGGTATTTTGTTTCACAAATATTTTATTTTGACAATATTGGTGAATTTTAATTTTAAAAAAGTAACAGGCACTCATGAACAGCAGAAAGCAAATTTCAAAAAATTAAAAATGATCTTTTTCCCTCCAAACGATCCTGCTCGCCTGGTATTTTGTTTCACAAATATTTTATTTTGACCATTTTGGTGAATTATAATTTTAAAAAAGTAACAGGCACTCATGAACAGCAGAAAGCAAATTTCAAAATATTAAAAAAGATCTTTTTCCCTCCTATCGATTCTGCTCGCCTGGTATTTTGTTTCACAAATATTTTATTTTGACCATTTTGGAGAATTTTAGTTTTAAAGAAGTAACAGGCGTTCATGACCAGCAGAAAGCAAATTCCAGAAATTTAAAAATGATCTCTTTCCCTCCAAACGATCCTGCTCGCCTGGTATTTTGTTTCACAAATATTTTATTTTGACAATATTGGTGAATTTTAATTTTAAAAAAGTAACAGGCACTCATGAACAGCAGAAAGCAAATTTCAAAAAATTAAAAATGATCTTTTTCCCTCCAAACGATCCTGCTCGCCTGGTATTTTGTTTCACAAATATTTTATTTTGACCATTTTGGTGAATTATAATTTTAAAAAAGTAACAGGCGTTCATGCCCAGCAGAAAGAAAATTTCAAAAAATTAAAAATGTTCTTTTTCCCTCCTATCGATTCTGCTCGCCTGGTATTTTGTTTCACAAATATTTTATTTTGACCATTTTGGTGAGTTTTAGTTTTAAAGAAGTAACAGGCACTCATGAACAGCAGAAAGCAAATTTCAGAAAATTAAAAATGATCTATTTCCCTCCTATCGATTCTGCTAGCCTGGTATTTTGTTTGACAAATATTTTATTTTGACCATTTTGGTGAATTATAATTTTAAAAAAGTAACAGGCACTCATGAACAGCAGAAAGCAAATTTCAAAATATTAAAAAAGATCTTTTTCCCTCCTAACGATTCTGCTCGCCTGGCATTTTGTTTCACAAATATCTTATTTTGACCATTTTGGTGAGTTTTAGTTTTAAAGAAGTAACAGGCACTCATGAACAGCAGAAAGCAAATTTCAAAAAATTAAAAATGATCTTTTTCCCTCCTATCGATTCTGCTAGCCTGGTATTTTGTTTGACAAATATTTTATTTTGACCATTTTGGTGAGTTTTAGTTTTAAAGAAGTAACAGGCACTCATGAACAGCAGAAAGCAAATTTCAGAAAATTAAAAATGATCTATTTCCCTCCTATCGATTCTGCTAGCCTGGTATTTTGTTTGACAAATATTTTATTTTGACCATTTTGGTGAATTATAATTTTAAAAAAGTAACAGGCGTTCATGACCAGCAGAAAGCAAATTTCAAAAAATTAAAAATGATCTTTTTCCCTCCTATCGATTCTGCTAACCTGGTATTTTGTTTCACAAATATTTTATTTTGACCATTTTGGAGAATTTTAGTTTTAAAGAAGTAACAGGCGTTCATGACCAGCAGAAAGCAAATTCCAGAAATTTAAAAATGATCTCTTTCCCTCCAAACGATCCTGCTCGCCTGGTATTTTGTTTGACAAATATTTTATTTTGACCATTTTGGTGAATTATAATTTTAAAAAAGTAACAGGCTTTCATGACCAGCAGAAAGAAAATTTCAAAAAATTAAAAATGATCTTTTTCCCTCCTATCGATTCTGCTCGCCTGGTATTTTGTTTCACAAATATTTTATTTTGACCATTTTGGTGAGTTTTAGTTTTAAAGAAGTAACAGGCACTCATGAACAGCAGAAAGCAAATTTCAAAAAATTAAAAATGATCTTTTTCCCTCCAAACGATCCTGCTCGCCTGGTATTTTGTTTCACAAATATTTTATTTTGACCATTTTGGAGAATTTTAGTTTTAAAGAAGTAACAGGCGTTCATGACCAGCAGAAAGCAAATTCCAGAAATTTAAAAATGATCTCTTTCCCTCAAAACGATCCTGCTCGCCTGGTATTTTGTTTCACAAATATTTTATTTTGACAATATTGGTGAATTTTAATTTTAAAAAAGTAACAGGCACTCATGAACAGCAGAAAGCAAATTTCAAAAAATTAAAAATGATCTTTTTCCCTCCAAACGATCCTGCTCGCCTGGTATTTTGTTTCACAAATATTTTATTTTGACCATTTTGGTGAATTATAATTTTAAAAAAGTAACAGGCACTCATGAACAGCAGAAAGCAAATTTCAAAATATTAAAAAAGATCTTTTTCCCTCCTATCGATTCTGCTCGCCTGGTATTTTGTTTCACAAATATTTTATTTTGACCATTTTGGAGAATTTTAGTTTTAAAGAAGTAACAGGCGCTCATGACCAGCAGAAAGCAAATTCCAGAAATTTAAAAATGATCTCTTTCCCTCCAAACGATCCTGCTCGCCTGGCATTTTTTTCACAAATATCTTATTTTGACCATTTTGGTGAGTTTTAGTTTTAAAGAAGTAACAGGCACTCATGAACAGCAGAAAGCAAATTTCAGAAAATTAAAAATGATCTATTTCCCTCCTATCGATTCTGCTCGCCTGGTATTTTGTTTCACAAATATTTTATTTTGACCATTTTGGTGAATTTTAATTTTAAAAAAGTAACAGGCACTCATGAACAGCAGAAAGCAAATTCCAGAAATTTAAAAATGATCTATTTCCCTCCTATCGATCCTGCTCGCCTGGTATTTTGTTTCACAAATATTTTATTTTGACCATTTTGGTGAATTTTAGTTTTAAAGAAGTAACAGGCACTCATGAACAGCAGAAAGCAAATTTCAAAAAATTAAAAAAGATCTTTTTCCCTCCTATCGATTCTGCTAGCCTGGTATTTTGTTTCACAAATATTTTATTTTGACCATTTTGGTGAATTATAATTTTAAAAAAGTAACAGGCGTTCATGAACAGTAGAAAGCAAATTTCAGAAAATTAAAAATGATCTATTTCCCTCCTATCGATTCTGCTCGCCTGGTATTTTGTTTCACAAATATTTTATTTTGACCATTTTGGTGAGTTTTAGTTTTAAAGAAGTAACAGGCACTCATGAACAGCAGAAAGCAAATTTCAGAAAATTAAAAATGATATATTTCCCTCCTATCGATTCTGCTCGCCTGGCATTTTGTTTCACAAATATTTTATTTTGACCATTTTGGTGAATTTTATTTTTAAAGAAGTAACAGGCACTCATGAACAGCAGAAAGCAAATTTCAAAAAATTAAAAATGATCTTTTTCCCTCCAAACGATCCTGCTCGCCTGGTATTTTGTTTCACAAATATTTTATTTTGACCATTTTGGAGAATTTTAGT